GATGGTGCTGTATAGTGTAATTCGCTCTTTGTTATACAAATTATCCATCAATTGACTTGAAACATGGACGTGGGAATAAAAGGAATGAAATTGTTTCTTTTGTATTCCCGGTGAAAATCGCTCTATTAAGCGTTGATTAAACCAATCACATATAACAAAATCACCAATTGAACTATAGATTTCGAGTGGTGATCGAAATCGAACTCACTCAAACTTTTATTCTACCTATAGAGAGAGAGAACAACTACAGATACTAACACACTCATATGTCTATAGGCATTGTTCATGTAAGGGGCTTGCCAACTTTTGTGGATAGTCCAAAATACAATCTCCACCATTCAAATTTGAAATGGTGGAATATCCACCTTGAATTCGCATGAAACTATCGTGATTAGAATCATGAAACACTCAATTTTTGCTTAACGCAACTAAAGAGTGCATCGTTATGTACCATGATTTGTATTTTGTAAGTAGATTGCCTTATCTTGTTAAATTTAGTTGAAAAATAAAATTTACTTTTAAAATGATATAACTTCATTCCAATTTTGTGTTTAACTCGCAATGAAGTGTATCACGTTGTCAAATACAATAAAAGAAAATGACTCTATTTCTCCTTACCAAGGAATGTTGAATGCTAGGACTAAGTACTATTATAGAACTTTCTGAATTAGTATTTTCACCACTAATTCATATCATTTTGCTACAAAATAAGCCCCAAGAAGTTGGTATTAGTAGATATGCTGTAATTACCCTTAAAGTAACATTGCAATAAAACTTCTAAGGTAAAAGTGAACTTTTGCTGGCAATAAATTTTTTTAACTATAATACATCATAAAAATGCTCCATTGCATACCATGTTGAGTGTGAGCTTCATCAGATGCTCTGTTCTATTTCATATTTATTTGACTTAATTTTGTCCATAGTTTGTTTTTCTGATTGGATGGAGGGTCAAACAAGGAAGCCCACTCTATAACTAAAACCTCAAACGATTGCTAGCATCCATTGCTTAATTGGGCTGCAAATGCTTGTTTATTGGAAAGTGGTTATAATTTCAATGATACGCAGAATTTCACAAACAAGCCAAAACAATACTTGAAATTTACTTCTTTTTTTTTTGGATAATGTGTTGCTTTGTACATTATCCCTAACACATTGTTTCTTGAAAGTTGCTTAACTTGAAAATATAGTTTTATCTTTTAAAAAAGGGTTATTATCACTTTATCTCCTTAACATTTGGTGCTACTATCAATTTCCCCCTTAACGTTATCTTTTAGTCACTTTACCCCCAACACTAACGGTCAAATTTAACGGACTTTGTTAAATAAAGTCAAAAGACATGTTTAACGCTTAAAATTATTATCACTTTACCCCATAAAATATAGTCTCATTATCAATTTACCCCCTAGAGTTATTTTTAGGCAATATATCCTACCATTAAACCAACTTAACAAGTTAAAAAATTTTAGAAGAAAATACCCTTCTCTTTGTATAATAAAAATAATAAAAAAATTAAAGTGACTCTTCTCCTTTTTAGTATCAAGAAAAAAAGTCAAAATATTAATTTCTTTTTTCTTGGCAATTTTATTAATATTGAAAAAAATAGAAAGATGGAGAGGGAGAGGGGGAGAGAGAGAGAGAGAGAAAGCTCAATTTTTTTAAAAAAAAATTACAAATAAAAAAGAATTAAATACTTTTATTATTTTAAAATTATTTCACTTTTTTGTTTACCATCAAATTCCAATCCTAATATCGACAACCTTAAAGTAATACGATAATGTTAGACTTTTCTTTATTTTCTTTTTTTTGCAAAATCTAATTTTTTGTCTCCTTCTTTCCTATCTCTTTTTCTTTTCCTAGTATTAATAAATGTAAAAAAAAAAAGAAATTTGAGAAAACCCTTTATTTTTATGTTTTTCAATGTCTTAAAGTACAAAAAAAAAAAAGAATTACCATTCCAACTTTTTTGTTTTTAATTATATATAAAAAAGGGTAAATATATTTAAAATTTTTTTACCATACTAGTTAGATTAACGATGAGGTAAAATGCCTAGAAAATAATGTTAGGAACTAAAGTGATTGTATCACTATAATCTAAATGAATAAAGAGACAATAATAATGTAGTAATGCTATAAAATGAAAGGGTATTTTTATCCAAAATTTCTTAACATGTTGAGTTGAATTATTTATGGGGGTAAAGTGACTAAAAGATAACGTTAGGGAGTAAACTGATAGTAGTGATATAGTTTAAGGAGGTAAACTAATAATAACCCTTTAAAAAAAGATAAATAAAACACAGCTTTTTAAGTTGTGACTGCGAATTAAATTTTGAAGTCCCTTGATATCAACTTCTAGAGTTTGAATTTTTATGCTACTAAGCTGCCAACTTCAAATTTTTTCTAAAGAAAAATAAACGTGAAATATGCTTCTTCTTTTTTTTTGAAAGTAAACGAAATATCTTTCGTTTAAAAGTAATTAAAAATGACCCATAATAATTAAGATATATAAAAAATTTTTAGGTATTTTCGATCAAACATACTACAAAAGATTAGCCATCACTATGAACCATTCACCCACCCCCCCCTTTTCGTTTTCTGAAGTATAAGCTGCAACCTTTGAAACATGTTACCACTAACCGTATGAGTTTGGATGTCAAACTCCCATGTATTTCTACAATTAACCATCACACAACAAATTTGTCAATTTCCCGAATATGTTATCAAATGAACAAACTATGGAATCGAACTTAAGGAATGATAAACTGCCAACGGATGGAAGAATTTTTCAGTTGAATTGCTTCACACCTCATACTCAATTTTACAAAGCAAAACCCAATTTTTTGAACCATGAGCTCAACCTATTTGATAGCATATTCAGTGAATGTACAAGGACTGCTGATTAAGAATTCACAAGCGAAAGAGAGGGGAAAAGGCAATGTTTTAAAATCCGCACCGGACCGGCCGGTTTGACTGGTCGAACCATGAACCGGCCATAACTTTGGTCCGGTTCATATCTTAGTTTGATCTGACATAAGAACCGGTCAAAAGTGAAAAAAACCGTTCAAACTGTATAAAATTATGAACCGCGGTTTTTTTATTTTTAAAACATTTGACTTTCTTATTTCCGTCAACTGCTAAGCACCAACCCTTAACCAAAGAGTTTTCTCTCCAAATAGCAAATACTGCTATCGCAGCCTCTCTGGCTCTCTCTGGTTTCCTTTTTTCGGTCAACTCTCAAGTCAAAAGTCCCAATTTCAATTCTCTTCTTCAATCTCCAAAGACTTCAATTTTCTTTGTTTTCATTTCAAAAGTTGAAGCACCAGTTGTTCTTACAAAAGTTGAAGCGCACGGTATAGTTAGGCTCTAAAATTTCAAGCTATTACCAATTTACCAAGTTAGATTACCTTTTCTTTCCTTTTTTTTTTTTGGCTCTTAGTTGGTTACTTGATGTACATATGCTTTTTATGGTCAGTATTTTTCCTATTTAACTTAGAATTATGGGTTCAATTAAATATTTTGAGTTGATTTTAAAATATATCCACTGTTGTTATATAAACTTTAGAGAAAAAAAATTCAATTTTACTCTATTTCTTGTGGAACTTCAACAATTGATGAGGTCTTTGTTGGGTCTCTGGCCAGAAGCATTACATTTATTTAGTGAAATGTGGGTGTCTCAAGTTGGCTCGCCAAATGTTTGATGAATTGCTTGAGAGAGACGCATTTTATTAAACATTGTAATGATATGATTATATAACTTACAATTGTTTGACCTTGCAGTTAAGTAGATTCTAATTAGCTCCCTTGCTAGTGACGTTTTCTTTCTGAGACTTTTGGGTCCTTTGTTTAGAGGTTTTTTTTTTTATTCTGCATGTCGCTTTCGCCACTCTCCAGTACCAAAACTCTCTCTTTGAATTTTGGCATCAAGAGCAAACAAACATTTTTGCACTTTGTTTCCTGCAGAATCGGAATTGGCTTTGCAATAGTGTAGCATTTTTTGATTTGGTAGATGACTTTCTCTCAGCTCTACCTGTTTGTTGACTTTTTATTTTTTATTTTTTACTTTTTTTTTTAAACTTTTATCATTTGGGTGGCCTGATGGTGTATAATAGCAAATGATCCAACCTGACAGAGACATGCCTTGGTCTTGGCGCTAGGGCCTGCCAGCAACAAAAGGGCATAAACAAGTTGGTATCCAATTGCCACTTGAGCGGGGTGCACAGGCACAGGAAAATTAGTCTGTCAAAATTGAAATATTTCCTATGTTGAAAAAAAAAAAGTTGGTATCCAATTATATAATTCGTACAAATATTTGGTATAAATTGATGGAATACAATTCTAGTATAGATGTAAATTTGTCAACTCCTACAACAACTATGTTAAATTAAATTAAAGTCTTCAATGAACCAATTACCATCCTACAATTGATATATCATGAATATCACCATGCAAATGCACAAAACCGCTAAACCAGTTTTTTGATTTGATGAACATTTTTAAGTCCATAATATGTGGTGGACACACACAAACAAGAGTGGAGATTAGAGGCATTGCGCACCAAGTTAGTAATTAAGAATCTTCTTATATGCAATATTTGAGTGATCTCTATATTCTATAGCAGAAAATTATTGCATGTTAGATGGTTTGTGAAGGGTCTAAAATTTTTATAATGATAGGTATAATTGAGATAAATTTATTTGGTTAAATTTATAGTTCTAAAAATTTGTGTGTGTGTGGAAATATTTAACTTTTGGGAAAAGAGTTCCAATGGCCCTCCAACTCTCACTCAGATAAAGTTTTGGCCCTCCAACAATTAAAGATACGTTTTTGGCCCTCGATCTAACAAAATAGCATATTAGTAGCCCTTCTGTCAAATTCACCAGTTAACTATGACGGAAAGCTTCATCTCGTGAGACGCGACACCAAATATGAAGGGCATTATGGTCTCTACATGATGCTTCTTATCTTACCTCATGTTAGAGAGTAAAAAGGTTGCTTCTTATCTTATCTACTTGAAAGTTCATATGCGTGATTTGAATGCAACCAATCAAAACGATTCAAGTCCTACTAATCGACGACAACCCACGATCGAAGTTTGACTACGTCAGTCTTAATTCTTAAGGAACGACTAGGCAGGCCGGGCAAGAGAACCACTGAAGAGTCTGAATTCCATCGCCACCACCACCTCCTCGACGTCGGACTCCGAGAAATCCATCGCCTTTAATGCTATTCTCGGAAGTTTGGAATATCCGTTTTCTTCCGCCTATCATTTTCCTTCCCGTAGATTTCCTCCTCCTTAATCTACCTCCTTGATTATTCCTCATAAATTATGCGAAGCTCTTGCCCCCGACGATATTTTGACCCGATTTGTTCTCTTTCAAGTTTTGACATCGCCGATGAAGTTCTCTTCGGTGCTTCTTCTGATTTGTTTTTTAGCATCGATTTTCATTTTTTCTGGGTTCGCTGCCGATTCTTTGGACGCGTACAAAAGCATAACTGGGAGAAAAAATTTGAATGGGTTAAATCCACCCCGGACCCCGGGCAAACGGTCTCTGTTGTCTGATTCCAAGTCAGTTTCTCTGCTAACTTTTTATTGTCTCTATTGTCTGATTCCAAGAATTCTTGGACTCTCTCGGCCCGGCGGTGAAAGCGTCCCCACGCATCCAATTTTGTAAAGAAAGAGGCCTCATCTCATCCTCCTCTCACAGCCACAGCCATAGCCATAGCCAGCAGATTTGTGAAAATCGAGAAAAGCACAAACCACCAAACAGTTTCTGTCATTCAGTTGCTTTACGAAGTAGTCCTAATAAATGGATGGATGAATTTGTTGGATGGAGATTTTTGTTGCTCTAACTTGAGGTAAGAGAAGAAGCAACCTTTTTACTCTCTTTTTGCTTGGTCAATCATCATGTAAAGACCATAATGCCCTTCATATTTGGTGTCGCGTCTCACGAGATGAAGCTTTCCGTCATAGTTAACTGGTGAATTTGACAGAAGGGCCACCAATATGCTATTTTGTTAGATCGATGACCAAAAACGTATCTTTAATTGTTGGAGGGCCAAAACTTTATCTGAGTGAGAGTTGGAGGGCTATTGGGACTCTTTTCCCTTAACTTTTTATCATGTGATATCTGTGGAGTATCTTAGCCTTAGCACAGGTGTGTGTGTGTGTATAATTATTGAACCGGAATTGAACCAGTCCAACCGATTGAACCTCGACCCGGTAACTTCACCAGTTCAATTAACGGTCTGAGTTTTAAAACATTGAGAAAAGGGGGAAAGAAATAAATTTCTAAAATGCTTAAAATCAGAGCTTCATATTTGTCCCTTTATTTCATGATAATCTCTTTCTTTTTGCTACATATGTTACAATAAATGTTCAAAAACTTAAATAACAGATATTAAAGAGAGAGAGATACACAAGCCTATGAACCTGAAACTACTTTTGTGAGGTTGTCTTGCAAAAATGCAACAGACTCAACTGCTGTCTTTGCCAACCAACTAAACCCCACTTTTACACGGTGCTCATCAGTTGGTAATCTTATTAAGTATGCCAATTTTCTTGCTGCAATATCAGTGAAACAACATAGCTCAATCATAGAAAGAGTAGGGAGCCAAAAACTGTAAAGGTAACGAAGGACTAGACATACCAGTATGACCAATAGGGCCTTCAAGCGTTAGGCCCTCAATAAAGCTTGGTGAAATAGCACCATCATATCTCCCAAGAGTCATCATCTCACCTAAATTCTGAAACCTGTAATGTGAACTCTAATCAGCATTATTAGAGAAAGAATAGCAATCAAGCTTCAGCAACTTAAGATACTGCAGGCCACGACTACAGGAAGAAAGATGCTGTCTGTGTAACTTAACTTTCTGATATAGGGAAAAACAAAAAGAAATTACGTGCATGTCTCAAGCACTTAAAGCTGTCAGAATTGTCAAAATTGACTAGATTGCATACACAGCATCTTCTACCAGCAGGCAATAATTGGTATTCTGAACCCCATAATCATGGTACTGATGGTTTCCAGTAGCACTGCATTGATAGCCTCCGATGCAAGATGGGCTCAATGATTACTTTCTCTATCAACTTAGATGTTTATCCATTATAGAATTTTTGTGCGTTATGATTGTTAGGATTCTTATCATAAGTGATAACCACAGTATTCTATCATCAATTGCACACCTTGGTAGTCAACTTATGTTCTTTAGTCATATAGAAAATCAAGGGAAAACAAGTCCATAAGCCATCCACCATTTCATGGCATCATAAAGTCAGCCATACACAGCTTTACCTCTGCAAGCAGAGGATAAGCCCCTTTTGATTCAAGCCTGAGTTGTCACAGCAACATGTATAATTTGAAAGAGACTATGAAAAGATGAAAACGTGGTCACGCTATAGTATGACAAAGCATCCATATCTAGAAACTTCACATCCTAACCTGAACGGCAGCAGAGGTCTGTCATTGATTGCAGCCCATAGATTCCAACCAGCAAAATCAGCTTGCTGGAATGCCACCTGAGATTGATAGCACGTATAGATAATGACAAGCGTGGGAATCTATTATAAACATAATTTTTTGCTATTTTTACCCTACAATATAAATGTTCATAATTTTTCCTGCTAGTAATCAAGGAAACTGATTGGCTACTAGGTAAGCTATTTGAGATTGACATGTCACAATAACAGCCTAAAAAAGATGTTGCAATAAAAAACATTAGATTTGAATACAATATGACAATGGTGCATATACATATTTTTATCAAGTAGGTCATATGGACAAGATATGGAGAAATATATTGTGCAACTGTCATACCATCCAGGATGAAAATACTAACAAATTCACTTTGAATCATTTTTCAGGATGATGCAGAAGAAATTAGCCAAAAAGTGAGCAGCTCACATCCAAAGAGCAAGAAAGGAATCTAGAACAGAGAGGTGGGAATAAACTACCAAACAATTGTGGCCTTAAAAAACCCTCAAACCAAGTTAAATTATAATGTTTGATTGTTGGACTGCATAATTGGTTTTAAGTGTGCAAATCTAAGCTCTCTTACAAGGGTATAGGAGTTAGTATCTTTTATTTGGAATCACAAGTAGAAAGCATATTTACATGCGTATCTTTTATTTGGAATCACAAGTTGATATCCTATTTACAGGCTCAAAAATAATTTTGGACGCTTTTGGCAGAATCCTAGCTTTGGTACCGACAAGACTTTATGATGGTTGCACAATATTCCACACAGAAATGAGAAATATGCTCGAGAAACTTAGAATTTAATCATATAAAGGAAATATCGCTTCAAAACAAATACAACTTGTTTCACCAGAATCTATGGTTGAAAACTTAGACTCTAATTTCAGAAAGATTAGAAAATGTAAATGAGATGATACATTAGTACTTATTAGCTGAAACAGTAGCTTTTGTTCCTTTATTCCAATCATTGAAGAAGAAAAAGAAACAATCACCACCGTACCTGTGCACTGGCCGGAAGCAACTTCCCACTGCTATCTCTAAAAGCGGATGAGTCACCAACAGCAAATATACGTGGGTGACCCTTAACCCTAAGAGTTTCATCTGTTTCAGCTTGTCCCCTGGCGTTAAGAGGAATTTCATGTGGCTTGTCAGAGGGTTCTAGCAGAGGAAGTAAAGACTTTGTACCAACAGTCCACAAAACCAGATCAGCTTCCAACATTTGACTTTGTACACCCCTTTCAGCTGGCTGCAGCTCTAGTATTAGGTTTCTATGACTTTTAGCTGTTTCCTTATCATGAATTCCAGACTTGTCTACTTCTCTAATACAACGGACAAAATATCCCAGTAAAAGTTTAACTTTTCTGGATGAGAGAACCTGCAACATAAATATTACCTTATTAATGAATGAATAACAAGTTATATGATGTCACCAAGTTTGGCAACTAAGAAAAAATATAACGAACCACGTAAAGACTATTAAAAAGTAGTATTCTTAGCCAGAAAGAATCAGCTATGGTGTATAGACAAAATAATTCAGACTAAGAACTAGCATAAGAATAAGTAACTACACCATCGGTAGAAATATAAGTAGGAAAAAAGGGAAAACCTATGAACCTGGTAACAAGACTATAAATCTAGTCTTGTGCTAAAATATCTTCTTGAGAGGTTAAACTCTCACAACCAGTCTGTATTTTCACAAACTGAAAAGCTCAAATCATGACTTGACTGCATGACAGAGAGCTAGGATGCTTTAATGCAACAGCAAGTTCATATTCTTCTTAGAAAGAGTTCAAAATATCTTGCGTTTTGAATCATGACTTGACTGCATGATAGACTTGTGTTTTATTGGATTATTGTTGGTGCCTGGGGTATGCCCCTTTTATTCTGTAACACTGCCTTGGCAATTAATATAATCTTACTTACCCAAAAAAAATAAAAATAAAAATATCTAATCAGGTAAGTTATATACTGAACGGCCAAGATTCAGGTGTGACAAAATATAATTGAAACTACACTCATTAGGTGATTATCATGAATTGTGATTCCTCTATCTTTGAAACCAGAAGCGTATATGGATCTCTTTTAACTAGTTCTTGTATTAATTATAATCTCAGCATGCCACTGAAGGGATTTGGGAGTGATAACAGAAAGTACTACAAGGATGAGACGTTTAACATTCCATCTCTTTCTATCTGATTCTAGAGGTTCTTCGATCGTCATTATCTGGTTTTCATACTAAATTGTATCAGCTTGTACATATGACTTTACCTCAAGACATACATATATAAATGTTCATATGTTGGTGTCTATTGTAGACGAGGACACTTCCAACAACTTAAACTTGATATACCTTCATATATTAAAAGGAATAATAGGACCCTGTTTGATCACTCCACTTAAATAGTCTACCTGAATATTTGGACCTTAATCTACTGTACTCTCATCCATGTTTTCTCTCAGAACATTAATCAACTTTCATATGACCTACCTGCAGCTTGCTTGTTCTTATGGTTAAACATTGAAGCCCAAATAGGTTCTTAAAGTCCCACCCACTCTAAAAGAGCATCCCTCAAATATATTCTTAAAGTACCACCCACCCAAAAAGAGCATTACCCATGCAAGGCAATTCTCTCAGAAAAAGTACACACTTGTGCATTGGATATGCAGGATTGTTACTAAACGTCATGTCTACATCCAGGATTGTTGCACAGGGCTTAATATGCTGTTTGCCTAAGAAACTAAATACAAGTAGAACGTATAATCTGGGGTGCATTCAAAATTAGTATCATAGACCATCTATGCTCCAGTGACAGCTACTACAACTGTTACACAAGGAAAAGAGGCTTCTTAAAAAAAGAAACAAAATTAAAAGATGGCTGTAATCAATATATTTATTACTACTAAACCTAGACACAGCTGCCACAATCAATCACTGACGAGAGGACAAACATGGTGAAGCCCATAGCCTTTCAGATTCTTTGGAACTAGACCTAGTGTCATGCCATATCTGAAAATTATTTGAACATTGCTTTATCACAAAAGAAGCTGATGTGATAATCATTCTAAATGAAACCAGATGGCGGAGGGAACATACATGTTTCAGTTAACTAGTCTCTGTGCATAAAATGGAATTTAACAAGTAAAATATACTTCAGAGCAGAAACACTTTTTCAGAATTAATTAGAAAATTTGCACACCTTAAGTGCTGCTTCTCTATTGCCAACCGGAGCATTAGACAAAACTGTATTTTGCACATTAATTGCTTCCACGATACCCTTATCTTGCAGTCTTTCAGATACAGTGGCAGCCAGCTCAACTCCAGAGTAACCACATCCCACAACAGCCACACGTATTTGAGAGTCCTTACCAAAGTTCTGGCGCTCTAATGCTCTAAGTTTTTCATCAACCATCTGAATTTCAAGAAGACCAAGACAATACCAATTATTGTAATTTACATGCTGCATTACTGTTTGAAGTAATTACTGAATAAATAATGCCCAGTAGTACATATACTAACGCGAGCATCTTCAAGAGTAGAAAATGGCAATGCATACTCTGCAGCACCAGGCACAGATTCAAGCTTTGCCTGAGCACCTAGTGCAAGTACCAACCTGGCTGCCCAAGCACAAAAAAACTAACAATTTAGTACAGTCCAATTCATTCATCCACACCGCTACCTCTGCCAGGAACATATAAACATAGATAAAATATTTTACTCAAAAAGAAAGAGACTTTGGTTGTTAGCAAGAACCAATAAGTGTGTTTATTGGTTGAAAATTCAGGACAGCTATTGCCTGATAACAAAGAGAAAAATTACTAAAAATTCAGAAAAAGCACTTTCCACAATAGGAAATTCAAATGTATCCAAACATAAATAAAATCTACAGTGGGGAAAAAAAAGAAGAAAAATCCCATTAAGGTCATTTAATGTTTATCTATATGTCCACTAAATAGAATACGAAGAAGCTTGGATAAGATCACTGAGAGTTACAGTGAGCATAGACATAATAAATTAAACTACTGAAAGGTAAGCATGATAAAAAGAGAAAACAAGTGACTGGAATACAAGCTTGTTTCTGACATATGCTTTGTAGTTTCCACTGATATTGTTAATCCATTTGTGCGGATCTTACAACTTTTGGTGCAAATCAGAAAATAATGAAATTAAATTCCATGAACATGATTGGGTAAAAAAAAAAGAGTTTTAGACAGTTCCATTATCAATGTATTAAAGAAGTCTTGCTTAAAAAAAGACTTAAAATGAACAAAAATGCTGTGAGCTGAAGTATTACAAAAAGAAATGACGAGAGAGGAGAGTCACTGTTGCTTCTTCATCTGGCCAAGAGCATCTTATCTTATTTTAAAGGTTTTAAATTACCTTCTGAAACTCAATTATCTGAAAGACAATTAAAGCTTCTTGCTTCTGTATATGCAAGTTCACTAACAAATTATACATTAATCAAGAACCAATAGGTAAACTCACACGAGTAAAACAGTCAAATGATACATGCATAGAAAAAGAGAAGGAAGAATTAAGAAAGAAAACCAGCTATTTGAAATAGTTGTCCAATTAAATAGCTTTTCACTGACTTGTTTCAATTTTCAATGAGTTTAAATCTACTACAAAATGCTTCAATCAGATATTCCAAAGAACAATTGGAAATAATTTCACATAAAAATCAATTTATATAGCACATTTTTTTCCCTTCTCTGGCACCCACTTCATGAATATGTACTTCTATTGGCAACTATTTGCAACTGAATTAAGCATCCATCAAGAAGCAATGCAAATCTTAAATACACTTGTACAAAAGTATACCAGTCGTATTCGATTAGGAGACCGCTTTCAAGATGGACAGTTCCACCTGCACCAGAGACAGTGGGCGGATTCATTCCTAGGGCGTCAGATGGACAGAAGCATTTAACCCTGTCTTTGAAAAATTGCACACCAGTATTTGCAAGCAAGTCTGTAAAACGTGGAGCTATTTCCCAAGGATCCACTTCTGTATAAACATAAGATTTTTTACTCTTAAGCATTCTTGTAAAACATAGAAAAGTTAAACCAGAAAAAAAAAAAAAGATAGCCATAAAGATAGACAAAAGATAAAATAAATAATGTACCTCCAGAGAGTAGCTCATATAACATTGGCTTAAAAACAAAATGCTCACATTGGTCAACAAGAACCACCTATAATTTCAAGTAAATGCTTTCCACAGTAAGCAAACATCTGAAACTTGTCAGGATTTTCAAACCCACTCCCCCACAAAAATAAAGAACAAAAAATAAAAGAAACACATACAATAAATGATCACGGCCACAAGAATGTTATCAGGCATTATGCTGTTCCTTCAAGTTTTGTTTCTCTTACAAGTGAAGGCTATGAACAATGGAGAGAATAATTTTTACTCTGTGTGTGTGTGTGAGAGAGAGAGAGAGAGAATCAGCTTGGAGTATTGATTGATAGAAATATACTGAAAGACATACACAGTGTAGCTTCATGTGGTCATGGTGAGATTGTTGGTTAGCAATAGCATATGTACAAGACAAACATGTGGTTCTTACCCATGGTAGAAGTGACTGAGAGAAACATGGTTGTATAAAACTATCAGTAAGTTTTCCACTGGCTCCTCAAGGATTCAGCCAATAAACATGCGGATTTAATATATAGCTAAAACAGAGTCATGACAGGAAAATGAGAATATCCAGCTTTCAGGTCAGAGCCTACTTGAGAAAACAATAATTCGGCCCCCGTATTATATGCCAAAGGTCAAATAAGCAACAGTTTGCACTGAGAAATGAGGCTTATCAGAACTGTTTACAACTTACCTGGGGTTTCTTTCCATCTGGCCAAACCAGTGATTCTAATCTTAAAGCAGTGTAAAGTCCTCCAAATCCACCTCCTAATATACAGATTCTAGGTCGCTGCAAGCATAATAAACTGTTTTACTACAAATTTAACATGTAATCTACCTACTGCCATAAGAATTATTATCTGCAACCAAAAAGATGTATTTTCAATTTAATCCCATCTATTATACATCAAATGAACTGATTTTTATGAAACAGAGAGGACCTAACACATTCAGCATGCCAATTGTTCAGAAAAAACGAATAGCAAGCAAACATATGCACATCAAATCTCTAATATACCACTTTAACCAAGATAAAAGACGATCATCTACATCACTAACAAACCTTTCCTTTTTTCCCTTGCAAGGAAAATTGAATATGACTTCATGCCTTATAGCTTACACCAATTACTCAAAGACAAGAACTACAAGCATGACCAACTTCTTGGAAAATTACATTTTGCAGCAAAAGAGTATACTTCTCACAAAAGTTATGCAATAAGGATAAAAACTCCAACATACTGAGTTCTTGGAGCTTCTATAAATATCAGCAACCAAATAAAAAATGCCATATTTTCAGTTTCAATAGGTTCTTCATAGGAAGTATGATTAAGTCACCAAGAAATTTGCAGTTTAATTCTCTATTTATCAAACTTGGCCAAGCTTCTACTAGTTAAAACATTTTCTTCAATATTTTCCAATCCAAAATATTACAAAACTTATGTAAACGCCAAATAAGCTTATTAAGCTACCAAGATCTAATAAATATTTGCAAATTATATTTGGGCTGTTAAAACATTTGTTCATTTTATTTGGGTCTCCAAATTATTATCTGCATCAAGGTCTTGTCAAAATTATATTTTACAACAAGCATTTATCTACTGTTCCAACTGAAAAAATACATTGCAATTTAAGTCCACTTATTTTCTTCATGGGTTTTATTTGACATAAACCCCTTAACTCCACTTCACATACAACTAGAGGTCAGGTTCACAACAAACTAAGAGACGAAACACTTAAAGTAGAACAAACCAAAGCTCAACGCCTTAACTAAAGTAAATTCAAACATTCATTATTGCTGCAGTAGAACCCCAATAATTTAAGAAAATCTGCACGGAGGGGGCACTTGGAGCCCTAATGCTAAAGATAATAAATGTTCGCTAAATACTATGGAAGGCTTTTATTCAAATTCTCCACAAAACTTACTTTTTACCGGATAGGAAGTTCTAATTATTTTAAAGTTAGAACCAATACCCTATACAATAAATAGTCAAAGATTGTGCCATCTTCTGCAAGCAGTGCTCCAAGGATGCCCAGTTTAACAAATTTTCCTAATAATTTACTTTACAAGACAAGTAATTATTAAATAAATAATCCAACAAACAAAACCAAATTATGCATCATGATTCATTGACATGAAAATAAAATCAACTAAAGGATGATACCGAAACTCATAAAAAAACAACAAAAATAAAAGGAAATGAGAGAGGGAAACCTTCTTTTCAGGCCATGCATAAGTCCGAGGTTCAGCTTCATTTTCAGAATCATAACTCTGAATTCCGCCAGAAGCAGAAGTCCGAAACTGAACCCTCGCGTTTTTACCAGAAAAATTGCTAGGTTTAATCGAAAATCGCGCCGAAATCCGGGGGCTTAACTTTTTCGACTGGATTCTTCCAACCCCCCCTGAAAGGGAAGAAATGAGAGTTAATTCAATAACTCTGTAATTCAACAAGGAAAACGAAAGTAAGACCTTACCGGAGTTGAAGAATCCCAGAGCTGAGAAAGCTGAAGCTGCTGCCGCAACTGTCATCGGCGGGAGCCAGAGTTAGGGTGGTCGGAGTAAAGAGCAGGACGTTAAGTATTTCGTGGTGTTGCTACGTTCCACGTTTGGATGTGTGATATGGGTGGGGAAAGAGGCAGGGACTGCAACGTTTTATCGGTCACGAATTTGGACAGTGGGAACAGGAAGATAGCGAAAATTTGGGGAATGGGAATAGGTTGATTTACGATAGCGAAAATTTATGTTTTGAAAATTTTGTGAATGGGGTATGTACTTTTTTATCGTCTAATCTAACCCTTTTCTGAATAAAATATAGATTATCATTCATGAAATAAGATAATTATTGTTTGATGACTTTGTAATGTAGTTTATCAACATAGGTAGATAAAGTGCGAATTCGATTTTGCACAATTCTTCGTCGTCCTCTCACGTGTCGCGCATGTGGGTCTTCCCCTTTTATTTACACTTATATTCTTCGCGCAAGGCGCAAATAAGCCACCAAAATAAAAACTATTTCAACTTGGGTTTGCTCCACCGCTTTTGCTTCCTATTCTCTCTTTCCTTCTTCATTTTCTTTTTAGTTTTGTACCTCTTCTTTTACAGAACAGAAAACTTGATAGTTTCCTTTTCCTCGACCGCCGCTCCTCAAATCCCCCAAACCTAGAACTACCAACAATAACCACCTACACAGATGTCGTTTTCAAGTCCCCCGATGATACCATTGAAGTCAACGGCCGTTTTGAAAGTCCCAACCAATACTCAGAATACTCAGCTTCATCATTCTCGAGAACTCCCTCTTTCAATTTCATCTTCGTCCTTGTCAGTCACAAGAAGATTGTTGTTTGGAGATCAATAGAATTATTGTAGGGTTTTCTCTCCAGAGATTCGCCACTTCTTCTCCTCTTCTTTCTTTTCCATTCTTCCTCTCATCCCATCCTCTAAAATTTCTCATCTATTTTCGGTTTGTCCTTTTTTCCAAAACCTTAATTTTTTTAACCCAAGGGGTGCCCATGCGTTTGCCATCAGTTTAGTCTTGAGACTCCAGACACTTCTGCTGCTTTATCCATTTCATTTTTTCCACTCTAAAGCCATTACATCACTCATCAACATCTACACGTTCCTTCTTCCTTTTTTCCACCCTAAAATTTTTTTCGTAGCCCTAAATCACACCTACGACTTGAAGTGATTTCTACCAAAATCTTCTCTCAAACCCTCAACTTATTCCACGTCTTTTGCTCTTAGAAAAATATGGTCAAAGAAGCAGCCAGTGATGGAATCCTTTGGATGTATCTAACAAAAGCATTTCTAGCTGTGATTTTACCTAACCATCAGTAATTATCTATTTCTTCTTCCTACTTTACTTATGTTTCTTTCTTGTTTTTATTTTTTCATTGATGTCGACTTCTTATTTCTTAGAATCTGGATATGAAGCTTCCAAGGTTGAAATATTTTTCCTCAGAAATTGTCTAAATCGGTATATTATTATCAAACTTAGTTCAAGTGTAATCCCTAATTAATCTTCTTTGTCTTTGATCTGAGTGGAAAAAAGATATCAAAATATGGTTCCTTCTGGCAAAAAAAGGGCAAAAGATCAATCTTTTTTACGGCTTTCTATATTTTTATTAATTTAAAATCAAAGGTCTAATTTGGTTAAAGTTATATGTACTAATTTTTATATATCTACAGTGGATCATTTCAAGTAATGATAACAGTGAAGGCTGCGATTAAGAAACAGGTTAGTTTTTAATTTGCTTATTATGTGATTTTTTCTTTTTCGTTTTTTTAGGTCTCTGTGGTCTATTACTAACCCTCTCTGTTTCTTTTATTCTTTATTCTGTATTTATTTTTTCCTTACTGAAGGGTCTATCTACAATGGATTATTTCAGGTTATGATAGCACTGAAGGTTACGATTAAGAAATAGGTTAGTTTTTAATTTGCTTCTTATGTGGCTTTTTTTTTTTTGGCTCGGTGGTCTATTACTAACCCTCTCTATTTCTTTAATCCTTTCTTCTATTTCTATTTTTCGCTTGCTGAAGGGTCTCAATCTTTTTCTTTTTTTTTTTTAGATTTTTTGCATATATTTGCTTTTAATTGATATCAAAATGTGCTGGCAATTTTTGTATGTGCATCACAAGACATAATGACATAGATACAAAAATTTATGAAATAGTTCACAATTCTTTACGTTTTGTTTCATTTCGTTTTATTTCCTCTGTTGAGAACAAGAAGGTTTGCTTCCTTTGCTCAGTGTACTCGTCCTTTGATTGAATTGGTTATTCCTTTTTTTATTCTTCTTTTTAGTTTCTTTTGGGTGTCTGCCTCCTGCTTGTGTGCTGTTTATATTTCTTCTTATTGTGTTTTACATTCCCATTAGAAACTATTATGTGTTTCTGGGGTGTTGTATGCATGTTCTATTATAGAAAGTAATATGTCTTTTAATTAGGAAATTTGTATACGAAATTTAGTGAGTGGATTAAAAAAATTTTGAATGAAGTTAGGAAATTAGCATAATAAATGCATCACCTTTAATCTTTACTATGTTAAGTTGTTGATATTGAAAATCTGATATATTTTTATTTTTAGCAAAAATTGGAAGGATACAGTGGATGAATGGGAGAGATTGAATCGACTTGATCAAGCATCAGTAGCTATCATTGGTATTATTCTCTTATACTATTTGGATAGTGATTTGGTTGGAATAGAATTTTATGCTCAAATTTAGCAAGCAATAAACACCGTACAGGGTGCAATTAGTTCCTTATGCATATTATACCACTACTCTTTTAGTTATGCACTAATATGACAAAAAATGGATAGTAGGTGAGAGTAGCAAGGATCCTTGCTACTTTTGCTACTTTTTAGCATGTGTATATACAAAAGTAGCAAGGAATTAGTTGTATGTATGAATATTTAGAATAGTAGTAAGAAAATGGTTGTAACGTTAATATCTAGAGCAATAGTTCCTCATGCATCCTCGGTGTTTAATACATGAATATTTAGGTGGCATTTGGTAAGAGGGTTTTAGAATCAGGATTTGGAATAAACCCCATATTGACTTTTTGGATTAATACTATCGGAACGGAGATTTTGGAATCATTTCTTAAAATTTAGAATTTCTCAAAATCCAAGTAGGTGATAGGGTGTTAATTGTTAGCAATTTTATGGTTAATTTCCCTCTTTGTTCTTGCCAAATATTGTTTTAATTGTTTACATATACTTATATTTGGTATTGGGCCTGAATTACAGGAAGTGGAGCAGAAAAATGCTAAAAAGGGTGACCTTCCTGGGAGAATGCTCTGCACGTGGGAAGCTTCCAAAATAAGTACAAATCTGGCTCCACATTGTGCTACAACGGAGCCCTTTTCTTTTGTTGACTAGGAGTTTACTAGTATTGAGGAGTTTTACTAGCATTAGGAAACGAAAAACAAGGAACATTGGATAGTTGCTTTACCTTTTGTTTTCTTTTCCTAATTGGAGGGGAACTAACCGGGGGGGGGGGGGGGGGGGGAGGAGGCTAGTGATTGTTTGAGAGAAAAACAGCTTTCGTTTTTGTTTCCTCTCCCGTTCTTGCTATTAGGCCAATGGAAAAACAGTGTTTATTCGTGATTGTATTAGAGAAAAAACAGATGCCTTTGAAATCAATTAAATTGCGTGAAAATTTTCTCATGAGGCGTGGCTAAACTTTTCATCTAGTCAAGGATCAACGCGACGACGCGGTCCCGAATGCCTGTGAGATCGAATTGGTTTTCAAGTGTTCCTTAATTTGTTGATATTTGCATGTTTTCTACTTGAGTTTCTATGAGATTATTTTGTTAATTGGATGTCAAGGGCCTGATATTCAAGGTGACTTGTTAATCTCCTGCTAATTTAATCAATTAATCCGTACTTGTTTAATTGATTAATGTCAGTGGCAACTAGTGCTTATACATACTAGGGGAACGTGCGATCTAATCTAAATAACCCTCATAGCGTGTTATTTATTAGGGTTAGATTTTTCTAATTCTTAATGCAATTAAGGGATTAACTCCTACGGTCGTACCTAGGAGTGTTTCCTGGTTATGGGTAATTAATGGTCGTACCTTGGTTATCAATAAACTAAGGAAAAGCTGGTCGTCAGAGCTTGTTGGTGATTATAACTAACCTATTAATAAATTAAGTAAACTTCCCTTGCATCAATGATCGGATGAATGGATTGCATCTGAGAAGTTGTATCCTTAGCTAGAATTTTTCTATTATTGATTTAATTCCTATCTACATTCGTACTAGTTAATTGTTTGTTTTTGGTTGAATTGCTTAATTGTTTTTAGCTTTATTCCGATAAAACCCCCCATTGTCAATTGGAACTTCAAAGAGACAAATATCCCCATTCCCTGAGGATACGACCATGCTTATCACTATTTACAGAAATCATATTTTGTTTGAGCAAGCATTTATTATTGTACAGGCTTGACACATGTCAGTAGGTTGGAGGGTTTTGGATAAAACCCAAATTTGATTTCTTTCAAAATTTTAAAAGACAAACTCTAGCCTTTTTAAACAATATTGAGATTTCTTTCCACCCTACCCACGCCTCCCCCCTTCTCTAAAGTCATAAGATTTTTCTCCACTCTTCGATTTTTAGACTCAACAATGGCCGCTCCAGGAGCAATCGCTTCGCCCCATGCACCCCCTTATCAAAGCCGATACTTTCATCGACAACAAGCGGAAAGATGACATCCGAATCATCAACATCTCCAACACACAATCTATCAGCGACACTGTTTGCACAAACTTAGGTAGGTGGAGTTGGGATGAGGATCTTCTAGCCTAGACAATTAGAATGGTTCTCCAGATTGTCGAATTCTATGCCTTTCAAATTAGTTAATGAAACAAGGTGCAAGTTCTCAAAACTTCGTTTCTAGGTCAAATATTTAAGATATTTGAAACTTCCATTTGTAAGCATATGTCACACAGAGATAGAAGGAAGGTGCTTCAGATTTTTCTTGAAATATATTTTAATTAACATTGTAGAGTAGAAATTAGTCAAATTATGTGAAGACTACCTGGTATAGCATATCATCCTATAATTTGTGTATACAAGCATTTGCACTTTTGACCAAATTTGGACTTCGATCAAAATGGTTTATTTTCATGGTGTTGTTTTGTTTCTATGCATGTATAAGGGCAATCCTTGTAGTCAAGGGTGTAATTTCATTTCTACCAGATGATCACATCTAAGGGAATAACTTAATTAGCCTTTTTATCTGATTGACATGTGCTTGGAAGCAAAAGTATTATAATTTGAGACGTTAGATGGGATTTCTTAAACCTTATGACTCTTAGATGGAAATTCTTTTAGAATCATGAAACTGATGGGTTTCCCTAATAAATCTATAGTCTGGATTGCTAACTGTGTTTGCACTGCCTTATTCTCTTTGAATTTAAGTGGCTTGGTTATTTTAGAAATGGAAGGGGGTTAAGGCAGGGAGATCCTATTTCTCCCTACCTATTTCTATTTGCTATGGAAAATTTTTAACTCTTAACTTGGAATATTTCAAGAAGGCTTTGATTACTGTCCAAAATACCAGTAGCTTAGTTTCTGAGAGGATGTTCAGATTATGCCCACATATAGAGTATGGTTCAACCTTGGCATGTGAAGGTTAAGTGGATGATTGATCGTTGGGCTTCAATTTCATTCCTTGACAAAGCAAAAAGAGTTATGCTTGATGCTTCAGTGTATCAAATCTGGAAAGCAAGGAATCAAGCTATCGTTCAGCATATTCTAGCTATTCTTATGCGTATTGTTTCAAAGATTGTGGAGTTTATGCATGTTGCTATTGCTGGTTGGGGAAAGATTCAAGATTAACGCAAATTGGGAGTTGCTTCTGGAAATTGGTTCACCTATCTCATGTTTGATTGATTGATACTTGTATAGAATGGTGTATTTTTATGTAAATAGTCTCTTTTGACTTGTGTATAGACTTCATTTTTATTCAATAAAAAAAATAAATTTTGCTAGTATGCTTTTTTTTTATGTTAATGATAACTCTTTATTGTTGAACCTTTCCATGAATGAGACTAGTGCATTCTTATCAAAGCAGGTTTAAAACTAATATATCAATTTTTAACTATATAATAGATTCAGGGTAAAGTTGGAAATTTGTTGCATTCCATTTCCAAAGAATCAGCAAATTGAATGTTAGATATAGTTGTTGAGAGAATATAAGTACTTTTGTACATAATAAATTAGTAAGAGTATTCTTGTAAATAGTTTGTTGGATTTGTATTACTATAAATACTAGTTAGTCACTCATAATACATATGTTAGACGTTTTTCTCCCAAAATACATGGTATCAAAGTAAAAGTCCTATGGTTAGGGTTAAACATCTGACAAAAGTCTTATTTACACGATACTGTTCATCGCGTACTGTTCACGCATTACTGTTCCAGGGTACTGTTCATCACAAAATTTGATTATTTTTTGGTTTAAAGTGTTATTTGTTATGGCTAAAAGTTCATCAAAAGGTGTCGTGGCGTCCACTAATGTTATGACAATGGTGACGTCTCAAATCACAAGTTGAAAGTTGAACGACACTAATTATCAACAATGGTAAAAAATTGTTAAGATTTATCTGACAAGTTTAAGAAAGTAACAACATCTTATAGACGACTCTTCTCCGAAGGATAACAAGATACTAGTGTGGATTCAAGGGGATGCCCAAATTCTTGGAGCACTATGAAATTTTATGAAGCCACAAATTGTTTACATGTATTCTCATTATGAGACAACAAAAGAAATTTGGGATTATGTCCGATTATTTTACTACAGTAATCTTTCACGAATGTATGATTTTTCTTTGGAATATTTTCAGTTACAATAAGATAACAAGACAATAATTGAATACTTTACTAATCTCAAGTGAATTTCAGAAGAATTAAATGTTGTAATGCCTCTCTCAAGTGATATTACAGTTATACAGAGGCAAAGAGAACAAATATTTGTACTCAAAATTTTGGCTAGCCTTAAGCTAGAATTTGAACCAATCAAATCTTAAAATTTAGCAGGTGAACAGTTATCATCCTTTGTAGAGGTGTATACTCATGTCTTACGTTATACATCTAAGGATAATGCACAAGGTGAAGGTGCTCTAATTAATGACAAGTCTATTTTAGTTGCTAACAATAATCGGATAAAACAATTTAGTTCTGGACGTGAGCAACTTAGTTTTAGACGTGACTCTCTTGGAGAGGAGGTCGTAGGGGTTCTAGAGGTCGAGACACTCGTAAGTGCACTAATTGTGGTTTAAAAAATCACACTTGTGATACTTCTTGAGATTTAGTTGAAAAACCTTCTCGGTTTGCTAATGCGATTACCACTGACCAAGTTGAATCAGATTCTTTAACACAAGGGCTTTAGAAGACTTTTACCATATCCGAAAAATATTATATTAAATTCCTACAGTACCAAACTACAAATCACACATCTCTTTCTTCTGTTTCTTTAGCACAAAAAGGTAATGCTATGACTTATCTCTCCACATCCTCTAATTCTAACTCATTGATTATTGACTCCGGGGTTACTAATCATATGTTAGGTACCTCTAGAAATTTTTTTTAATATTGAAGAGTTTACTTCCTTTTCTCATGTTACTTTAACTAATGGATCTACAACTAAAGTTAAAGGACTAGATACTGTAGAAATTAACCTATCTCTTCCGTTATCTTCTATTCTTTACATATCCAATTTGCCTTTTAATCTAATATCTTTTAGTAAGTTTACTAAATTTCTACAATGTTTAGTTATTTTTTTCCCTGATTTTGTTGTCATTCAGAATTTGAAAAGAAAGAAGATGATTGGCGAAGGATATGAGTATAATGGTCTTTATTTTCTTAACTCTAATGGGTCAATTGCATGTACTACTATTGTATCTTCTCTTGAAATTTACTGTTATTTGGGTTATCTATCTCTACAAAATTTGAAGAAATTGGTTCCTATTTTGAGTCAGTTGTCTTTATTAGAATGTTTCTTTTGCCCCTAAAGTCAATAAACGAATTTCTGAACCCTTTTTATTAGTTCATTCTGATATTTTGGGTCCTAGTCGTATCACTTCAAAGTTAGATTTTAATTTTTTTTTAATCTTTGTTCATGACTTTTCTAGAGTTACATGATTTTATTTAACGAAAGATCGTTCAGAACTATATTTTATTTTTCATGCATTTGTTACAGAAATAAAGAATCACTTTTGTTGCATATGAATATGTCTAAACAGTTTTGGAGTAATACAATTTTAACTGCATGTTATGTAATTAATCGCATACCATCTAATATTTTTGGAGGTCAAGTATCTCACTCCATTCTTTTTTCTCGAGAACCTGTGTTTAAATTATCTTTGCGTATTTTTTGATGTGTGTTTTGTTCATCAGCTTACTCTCGGAGTGGATAAATTAGATTCTCTTGCTATTAAGTGTATTTTCTTAGCACGAGTTCAAAAAGGATATAAATGTTATAGTTAAGATTTAAATGGATTTTTTACTTATGTTGATGTTATTTTCTTTGAATCCACTCCTTATTTTTGTCGCGCCCCATTTTTCGCGATGGAAAAGAAAAATAAAGTGTGAGATTTATAAAAGATATGATTTTATTTTTAAACAAGTTAAAAGGGACCTAGAATGGGACTTAAAAA